TTATTGCACATTTATTAGTAGTAAATTGCACACTTCAACTATTGCAATTATGGTGCGTAACATGTGTAATATCTGGTCTTTATAAATAACTGTCACTATTTTAGTTAACTTAGAGCATGCAATTGTTCTTGCTTTAGGGCATCGATATTCTTCTGGATGGGCTATTTGGGACTAGAAATGGGTCTTTTGTTTCAGTGTAAGCACTAGACAGTATATTTTTAAGGAGTGCATCTCATTTCTATTTTAATACAAGTCTTCTCTTTAAGGAATAGATCTAATTCGGCTTGAGAATTAGTGTGTGTTTGTGTCTTTAGAATGCATTTGTGAAGCTGGTAGGGTAAAAACTTTGTAGTGGTGCCAAAATGCTAATCTGAGGCCCAACATATATTTTCACATTTTTAATTTGAACATTTTTCAGCTAATCTGAACGCACGATAATTAGTTTGGGTTTGACGTTGTGGTTGCAGCTTCAGTGTAAGAACCAACCATTTTCTTGATCCTGCACTTATTCAAAGTCATGAGTTTACTTTGTTGCTGTCTAGGTTGTCTATATACTGGACCAAGTTTGTGCACTAGAAAATGAGATGATTCTCCCTTTAAAGAAACAAGGGCTTGACTATCTATGTAAGTGCATTTTTATTTTAATAATTCTTTCATTTTTAGCATATGTTAGGATTGTATATTCTCTCTGTACATGCTGGGCTAAGTTCATCGTACTAATTATTGTGTATTTTATAGGCTGCGGATAGCATGTTGACGAAGAAATCTGCTGCAATCATGCTTAGTGGAAAGAAGCCTGTCCAGGCCGTGGTTACTTTGGTTGGCTTTGAAGATGTGCTTGAAAATTATGAGAAATTAATATAGAATGCGATTCTTGACCAGCTCGATTGCTGCTGCAGCCTCTGTAGAGGGCCTCTTCGGAGACACCTAAGATCTGTTGCAAAATTTCAGGTGAGGTTGTTGTTTTTCGAGTTGACATATGAAGTTGTTGAAGTTCATGGACCTTCTTCTTGTCCATAGCTGTTATAGTTCACTGGTGGTGTTGAAGTTGTTGTAGTTTGTCTGTTAATTATGTTTTGTGCCTGTCCACACCAAGTTTTTGTCCTTGTCTTTTCATAGAAAAAAATTGTCTCTTGTGATTTGTGCTAACACATTTTGAACTTTGTTAATTGTGATTTGTGCCAACACACACCATTTGTCCTTTCATAGAAAAATTGTCTCTTGTGATTTATGCTAACACATCTTGAAATCTGTTAACATGTTACATAACTGAACCCTTGATTTGTCAGACCTTTTGTTACAGAGAAGAGGCAGTCTGTAGCTAACCGGATCAGAGAGAAGTACCTTGACAGAATTCCAGTAAACTTCTACCCTCCTGTATGCATTGTTTTTTGTTTGTGTTATTTACTCAAAATCCTAAAATCTTCTCTGTCGGTGCTTCGATCAGAAGGCTTGGCCAAGGCTGCTCTTGCATTGTTACATGCTCCCGGGCATGTGAATAGACTGCTATAGATGCTCTGAACATATAGTATCTCCTCAGGCCTATCCACTAATGGATTAGTGGCGTTTATTGTTCTTGTCCATAATAGTCGCAGTGTTCTGTTCCTATTAATCTGTTCTATTCACGAAAAAACAAACAAAACATTCAGTTACTTAATAATTGTAACCAACAATGTTGTAAATTGCAATTATTGAGCACTGCAATTTTAGTGTTGAGAATATATAATATGTCCCTTTTTACTTTCGAGGGTTGACTATTAGTAAGGAAATCATTTTTTCACGAGAATCCTTCCAACTTTTTTGATCTTGGTTTTGTGTAGTGGGTTGTACATGGTATAGTTGAACTGAGCGGTTTGGGATTCATAGTTTGTCTGTTTTTCATATTTTCTACAATTGTGTAATGCCTTACTGGGCCACAACTTTTTGTTTGTTTATTGTGATTTGTGCCAGCCCACACCATAGTTAAATTAGTAATAATACTAGTACTTTTCTAATAGCCGAGGCAAATCATTTCTCCCTTTCATTACTGAAGTTTGCACTTGCACGACAATGCTCGATGATTTAGCTCTTCAAAGTTGATAGCAGAGGCGTAGTGTCCTTCAAGATTTGTTCTGTTGTATCGCTTAAGTTCTCAGAGCAGTATGCAAAGCTAACCTGCGCTTTACATATAGTTTACTACCATGTTTCAGAGATTTCAGGTTACATCCCTCGATAATAATTTAACTAATTCTTGGTAGGAGGTTGATAGAGATTTCAGACATTTATCTTCGGTGCTTGTCATAGATCTGCTAGATTTCTAGATATTTATCTTCCTATAGAAAAAAATTTGTTAGTTGTGATTTGTCCTTACACATTTTAGAAATTTGCTAGGACAGGACGATTTAGTCCTGCACTGATGAAATGTAATAGTTTAATTTATGTTTCTTTGTTTGGTGGGGTAGGTAAGTGAGAGGAAACTGGTAGTATTAGCTAACTACAGAAGTTGAAATTGCTCTGTTATTATTATTACCTGCTGCTGATGAAAATAAGACATATAAAATTTAGTTACACAATTGCAATCACCGATAATATAAATTATAGATATTGGGCACTGTAATTGTAGTTCTTAGCAAGTGTAATATTAGTTCTTAACATATGTAATAAATCAGTTATTAATCATGAATATTAAAATATTGAACCTTTGTCTGATGTATAATAGATTAATAGTTCTGATTTCTGGAGTAATTTGAGCTGGGCCCTTGCATTTTTTACTGCACTATTTCTGAAAATATTTTTTACAACCATTTCATCACTGTTGACTGAATTGATTTCTTCTGTTTTTTCAACATAGTGCCACTAAATCATTCTCTGTTCTTTTATTACATTGATATCTAAATGCATTTTTCCTTTTTCCATTTACAGGGTGGATTCTTTGTGTATGACATTTTCTGGATGTTCTTCACTCCATTAATGATCAGTGTGGCTAAATCTTGTGATGCTCCGATAAAGGTCAGTGCTCTTTCCTACTGAATTTGGTCTTTGTTAATACCATTATCAGTTAGTTCCATTTTCTCATCTTGATGCTTCAGCTGATCTGGCTTTGCTTGGTTATGTGCAGCTTCTGTTTCCAACTGCAGATGCTACATGGCCATTCTCCATGCTTGTCTGATAGAATTTGTGTGTTGCATTATCTTAAAACACACGTTTTTTTCCGGTGTTTCAATTCGTGTGTTTCTTAGACATCTAACAACCATGTGCTAACTAGTCTAAAAACATATGATTTTTCCTATGTTAAAATCTATGTGTTTTATATACAGCCAGCAACCATGTGCTGGCTTATGTTAAAACACACGTGTGTACAGTAGAGAGACTCTAGCTATAACGAATAACGATATCGTGCAACCAGCACAACGAATGGTCGAATCTTCCAGCCGCCTACTCCTACGTGCGCTAGCTATGTTCTGTTGCCGTGTTGCGTCGATCGCCAGCCGAGTCTTTCCAACGTCGTCAACAGCATTGTTGTACTCGCAGAGACACTGCAACAGTTCTGTTTCTCCTACTCGTACGTACTACATGGAATAGATTCCCCCGTGCGGTCGTGCCGTGCGCGCTCGTTCAGCGTCTCTCGCTCGACCGCGCAGAGGGGATGGGGCGAATGCGCGAGCACGATGCACGCGATGCGTCGGGTTGCGTCGCCTCGCCTCGCCTCCGGCCAGGACCAGGATATTTCGGCGTCGCGTCGCACCAGCAACAGACAACACGAGCTGGGTTCGGCGTGTGATATGTTCGCTTGGGCCACAAGTCAAGGTTGAAAGTGTGGTTTGCTAATTTATTACGAGAAAAAATACTATTATTTATCTGGCTGAAAAAATATGGTTTGGACCGGACGGACGTACGTGGCGTCGCGGCACCCGTCGCGTCCGTGGAAAAAGTGGGGGAGTAGGGGGAAAACACGGGTGCGTAGGGACCATGCCTTTTGAGTTGGTTATGATCAGGTGGTCCACGCGCGTCCCGGCGGGTCGGTGGGGCAGGGCTGGACCTGGGGACAGTGCAGACTGCAGACGCGCAGGCGCAGGCGCAGGGTATAGGCACCGACGTGGTGGTGGACCGGTGGTACCTGGTACGGGACCGGCCGGGGTGGTCGCCGTGTCAAGGGGTTGCTGCGAACGCAACGAATCCCGGCCGGCGCAATGTAATGCGGTCATGCTGTGCCGGGCCTGGGTCAGGGTCATCCATGTTGATCGGTTGTGTCGCGTGTGTGTTTGTGACAACCTGCTATTCTTCGTTCATAGCTCTTGCTTTCTCTCCTTTAAGTCCAGTGAAACTGTCTTCTCTTACTGTTCGTACCCCAAGTGCCTGCTGTGGTCTGTGTTGTTTGGCTGTATATACATTCATTTGTAACTTTTTTTTTAATCTCATTCATTTTGTGACTTGTGAGTGCAGTAGCAGGATCGTTATTCCTTTATCTGAAGGAATGAAAGAAGCAGAGGTGACCAGATTTGCCAGAGCAATGCTGAATGCCGCCATCCAGGATTCGTCCAAAATAAATAAAAGTGATTATCCAGATTGCCACGCAAAGCCTCTACGACCATCAAGTTGACGAGTTCGATGATGTTTTGTGAGAATTGGTTGGTTACAAGCTGTAAATTGAGAAATATAGGTAGTTATAGAAGCTGTAAAACGGTGCAAACATATTTTTTGAGCCGCAAGGTTGTATACTGCTTCAGTGCAGCTGGATAGCTGCCCAACTTTTACAGAGCGGACTGTATAAGCATCAAAGAAAAACATACTGCAGAAAATTTGCTAAGAACTCCTACGGAACCAAAGAGAAAACAACGGACTTTACAACACAGGCGTAATTGACTGAGAGAACTCCATTGTGCTGACTGCTGACTGCTGATCACCTCAGCGAAAGCTAACCAGAGCGAGCACCGGTAGTTATTCTGCCCTTCCTAATCACGAGCAAGAGCAATTCGACGAGTGCCAAAGGAAAATTTTGGTCAACTACGTGTCAGCCACTGTCAGTACAGCCCCAGAAATTTCCACCAAATGGTTCCAACAACTCCCCAGATTAATGTGTTAATCAAGGCTGTTATAAAACCCAGCGTGAAAACATCTGGAAGTTCAATATATCCGGCTGCAGAACAAAAGTAACAGGTTAATCTGCATACCAATTTCAAAGTGCTATATATACATGCAAAAGAAGGCCCCGCTTGCCCACTTAGAATAATAAATCTTCTCGTTATACAGTATTATTCGTGACAAGTGTGTGTGTTTTCTTTTATTACTTTTTTTACCAGATCCCATGTGTAAACGCAGAGGGAAACCACAAATTTTAGTTGGCAGGGTTAGTAATTTGAGCTAAAGAATAGCCAGAATTTTCAGGGAGAGAAAAAAAGAAATTACCTCCAAAGTATACTGCAGCCTGCCCACTACTATAATGAGTGATTGCACCGAACAGATTTGTGTTAAATGCCAAAGCGAGTGCTGACAGCGCACGAGGAACACCGGCCGCTATATGCATAGCCAGAAATGCAGAGTATAAGGCTCCAACATGTCCAGTTTGGCTTGCAAATAGGTAGTGGATCAGAAAGTAGGAGGCCTCAAGAACACAAAATGCCACTGGCCAACTCAACGAGAACGACTGAAGCAGCTTGGCAACACAGCTTGACATCCAAGAAACAATTCCCAGGTTAGTGAGTTGTGCTGCCATTCCAACCAGAACCGCAAACCAAGCCAATGTATCCCATGCTGATTTCTCATTCAAGCAATCATCCCAGTCTAGCACACCCAGAAGGAGAAGAATGGAGAGCCCAAGCATTGCAGCCACAACACTAGACACACCAATAGCATCCCTACACAGAAATTGTGCAACAAGTCATTACCAGAGTACAAAATCTGCCCCCCAAAAAAAACCACTAAGGAGACTAAGCAGTACTATTTCTAGGGCACCTGCATCATATCTCATGTATGGCATCCTGTAACACTCTACCTAATTAATAATTACTAATTTAGTCACTTGAGCGAATTATAAATTATCTATGAAGTATTACATATACTGATGGATACAGCGGAATATGATCACCAGAGATATAATATGAAAAATACTTTATTATAACATAAAGCAGGAACCAGAATATAAATGTCAACTATCCTGGAGACCAGCTGTTGTCTGTTCACACATCTTAAACAGCGAATAAGATAAACTTCTATGATTTTATCCAGTGATGGAGCCTAGTAGGGGGCTGGCAGGGCCATGGCACCCTCACGATCCATTTTTTTCTATTGACATTGAAGCCTCTGAGATTGAGAAGAACTTTAGTGCATGTTTTAGTATTTGGTTCCTGAATCAACCTAGCTGCCCCCTTAATCATCTAATCCTAGCTCTGTCACTGCCTTTATCAATAATGTTGAACCATACCACGCACCGCATTCATAAATTGCAATGGAACGGACCAAATTTTCACTTACTAAACTAGGTGTCTCAAAAAGAAAACAAAAAGGTGAAATCTTCACAAACTAGGGAGGTAAAATAGAAAGAAAAAACAGGACTCTGTATGCATAAAATAATTCGCTGCGGGAATGTAGCAACACAACTATCAAACAATTAATCTGCTTTATTTTGATGATGCCGTGATAAATTCTAATGAGATCATAGGAAGCAGCAAGCTAAAATCCATGAACATCTTTTATCGAGAGTAGAATCATAGAGCAAAATAGCTCACAAGCTGCAAATTGTACTAAAATCGTGAGTCAGTACTATGAGATGATCCTTTCTAAAAAAAGTACTATGAGATGATTTTCTTCAGTCACGGGAAACCTTACCCAAAAACCCATAAGGAGACTGCAAGAATCATTGTGCCAATCATAACCCATTCGCTTTTAGTCACAGGGCCCATGCGCTTCAGTTTCTCTTCAGCCAGTGCTGGGGCATCAGGGGTGTCCTTTGTTTCAGGGGGAAAGATTTTGTACAGCAAATATGGTGTTGCTAGCAGAGAAACAAGAGCTGGCAAACTAGCAGCTTTGAACCATGATACCCATGGATTTGCAATGATTACACCAAGCTCCTCTGCTAGCTTCAAGCACAACAGGTTTTGTGCTGCAGCAGTGAGGAATAAAGCACTCGAGTTACCACTTGCCTGTCAAGCAACATAAACCATCAATTTGCATAACATACAGAAGAATTATAAAAACATTCCGCAATTACATGTAAACAGAAACGGGCCCTATTCCAAAGAACAATATTTCAGCATAGAATTCCAAAATTGGGTGCACTTTCAGGATTCTCTATACCATTTGTTAGCACTTGAGGGATTAGGCACTAGATGTTCTCTCAGACAGATGGCTCATGCAGCCACATGTCAGTGAGACACATGGTGATAGATCTTGCACTGCCATTAAATTAGGAAGATCTTGCACTTCAATATGTGTTCACGACTGGATGACAGTAAAGGTTCAATATGTTTTAAAAAAAACATGTTGAAGTTTTATTTTTCACTTTGTAATGCAACCGGAAAAAAGAATAAATTGTCCTCATTGTCAACACAAAACTTTTTTATATTAAAAAAACTTAGTAAAAAACGGATTAAGAGGACCACTTCTACTAAATTAAAAAGTCACTACATCCAGTCATGAATACATGACGTTTTCGACAAACAAACAAACTAAAACTAGCTTGTTTTCTTTGTCCAAAATGTCTGTTATTCATGACTAGAGGTACTAACCATTTTTACCTTTCATTAATGTTAAGGTTTATTTACCAAAGTTCTTCAGCAATAGGGCTATTCATATTAGATAAGCATCCAGTTAACGCAGCAATGCCACAAGAATTACAATCACCTCCTGATTTAGTACCTCTTGGATGAGAGCTACTTGTAAGCAAGAGGCCAAATATATAAAATGAGTTAAGGGTATGATAACCTTCCTAGTTTATACTAGTATAACTAAATTATGGACTCACATAAACTCATTTTTACATACTGTCATAGTCATCCAAGCATCAATGAACAAAAAGAAAATGAAGTTGTCATTTTTTTTTGTTGAACACGCAGGAGAGCTGCATAACATTATATTCAGAAGAATAAGGAGTTTAGGTGACTCAAATAACCCCTTAGAAGGGCATGACCAGTACAACAGAAAAAAAACAACAAAAAAACTAAGTAAAACCAAAGACCAACAGATCAGTCATGGCCATAAGCTACGGAGCCCTTTGGCTCCTGCCATACACCACAACTTGGCCTTATCTCTAATATCATGCATGATGGAATTAAAACTGGACAGAGATCCCTCAAAGACGCAACAATTTCTATGCTTCCAAATCCACCATGCCACGACGACCAATGAGTTGAAACCCTTATGATGATGTTTAGGAACATGCTGCAAAGCTAGGCGTCACCAATCTATAGAAATGCAATCTTCTGTTCTTGGGGATAAGTGTTGCAGCCCAACTAGAGAGAACACAGAGAACCATACACTTCTTGTGAACACACAAGATGCCACGTAAATAGGCAACTACTCCCTCCATGTTCCTAAAGGAAGTCGTTTTGAGGTTGTCTTAAGTCAAACATTTTAAACTTTGGCTAAATAAATTCTTTTGGGCTGAGTTTGAAAATATGAAAGTGATGTAAGTAGATTCATCTCGAAATGTAGTTTTATAAAAATATGTATTGACTATATTTTATAAATATTTTATAGCAAAAAGTAGCAGTCAGAGTTGTTTTTGGAGAACGTGTCGATGTCCAAAACGACTTCCTTTAGAGGCATGGAGGGAGTAAACACAAGCCTGAATTACATTGAATAGCAATTGATATATTTGGTAGTTAGGATCGTAATCCGGTATTGCCATATGTATCCGGGGAGGTGTCTTGTCCCCCAAAGTTTCTACACTCTATATAGACCACCTGAGAAACTTAATGAAATACATCCACACAATACACCCAATCCTTCCTACTTTCATGGTATCACGACCTTAGGGTTTTGATCCTAAGCTCAGGCTTCCACTACGGTTGCCACTCTGCCCCTGGGGAGATCATCTCTGCCATAGAGTCCTCATAGGAAGGTTTTGGCCAGGGATCTAATTGATCTGCCGCCTTAGCATCCCTAAACCCTAAACCCACCTTAGCATCACGTAGCAACAGATCGTCAGGGCGGCTCACGTGGGCATTGATGGGCTGCCGTGCTACTCGTCATCGTTGTCGTCAACCCTACGTGCCACCCCATCGAGTCACCATCGTTGGGAACAACTGCCCCCTCCTGATATGCCTCCCCCCTCCTTAGCGTCGTGTTGCCGCTGCCCTTGAGCGCGAGCGAGTAGCTGCGGAGGAGACCCTTGGGGACGTTGAAATGGGGTGTCGCATCGCCGGACCACTGCACCGGGGTGACCGATTGTCATGCTATTGCAAGTGGACATCTGACTGTCGCGCCATCCCTCGAGACCATGACCACCATTTGATCTAATGTTGTGTTTTTCCTTTTTTTTCCTGATTAAACATCGGGATTGCGTCACCCTGTCTACCGATTACTCAACCCTCTTTCGTTGACTCCCAAGGACGAGGTTGTCTTTGCCTGCCCTCCTAGGCAGTAACGACGACGATATTAATCAAGGAATATTCCCAATCGCATCCTATCCAGGATGGCGACACCCATGTTGTTGTCTCTCAATCCGAGTTCGTGCATAATGCCACTAACCCCAGGACAACACCGCCAATGTCGCTAATGGATGGCGCATGAGCGCTTGTTGATACATACAACAGCTAGCCTCATCTACCTCCGCTGTTTGGTTGGCTCATTGTCGGTTTGTCGACTAGAAGCTGGTGAGTGTACTCATGTGCCTCTGTTGGTGTTTTGAACCTGCGCTTCCCTCCACGCCTTCGACCACGTCCACCTCGACCCCATCTACTTTGGTGATGAAATAGGCTATCGTCGGCAATTCGGCATGCACTGCTCTTCGCTTTCTACTCTAGTCGTAGCCGACTCTGCATTGTGCAAGAGGATGTTAGTCTTCGTTTTCTCCTCCAGTCTATGATGCTCCTGCTACGCCTAGGGGTGTTAGAGTATATTTGGTAGTTAGGATTGTAATATGGTATTGCCATATGTAACTAGGTAGGTGGATTGTCCCTTAAGTCTTTATCTCTCTATACCATATGTATCTAGGTAGGTGGATTGTCCCCAAAGTATCTATGCTCTCGATATATACCGCCCGAGCAGCTCAATGCAACACATCCTAGACGATATATCCAATCCTTCATGCTTTCAACAATGACTTAGGCCACAACCATAAAATCTAATACTATAAGCCTAGGTTCAACACCATTATCATTAATAGCCTATTGAACTAATTATTTATTACATCTTACTTCGCCAAAGAAGTCAATGTTTGTTCGAGGAGACTTCAGGAGGCCCCTAACCCCAAAGCCCGATGCCGGTTCTGAGGTAACGGTTGCAACATACTAGGTCATAAATGGAAGCGAATCCTCCCGGTGGATCCGAAGCCTTAATCAAGTTCTCCAAACCACTTCAAAGACGATGATATGACCACGATCTATGATGATGCCATGGGTACTATTGGGACAACCATGATGCACGTGACAGTGGGCCACATGCCCTGTGACAACGTCATCTGGTAGTTGGTTGTCGCAAGATTAGAAGCAGGAAAGACAATGGTGCCCCTCCATGGCACAAATGAGCAAAATATCCCTCTCGGTAGTATAAATACATGGCACGTGCTTTGTGAGAGGGGATTCCAGATTCTCACGCTCCACAATAGTTCATCACTATTTAGCTTTTCTCTTCCCTAAGCTTGAATCTTTTGTTAGCAAGGCTCTCACCACATTTAACCAGGGCAAACGTTCTTTGCCCCAACCATTTGTTTAAAGGAAAAGATATTAACAAGCGACACAATGAAGCTAGCTTCACCATTTTAATTCAAATCCTATAGAAAAAGGGATTTCCTATAAGAAAGAGACTTGGTATAGTTGTGAAATGCATTAATGCAAGCATGCAGGATGTCCTAAGAAAAGCTTATGGGTGTATTTAGTTTAGTACCCAAGCTAGCCAAGCCAATTGGCTACTTTGACCAATCTTGTTGGATGTCAAAATTTGGCCTGGCACCCTCCACCTTTGGCCACCTCATTTTGGTGGTCAAAGTTGACCAAATCCATGGTCACCAATTTGGTGACCAAAATTTGGGGGCTTGGTTAGGAGATGCCACAAGCCAAACAATCTAAAAGCTTTATATAGATCAACAACATAAATAGTTACTTCCTCTAATTCAATTGTAAGTCGCTTTCATTTTTGTCCTAAGTCAAGCTTGTCGAATTTGACCAAGTTTATAGAAAAATATATTAACATCTACAATTTCAACTAAATGCATCAAAATATTTGTCATGGTGTATCTAAAGAACCTTGTTTGATGTTGTAGATGTTCATGCAGTTTTTCTAAAAACTTAGTCAAAGCTAGGAAGTTTGACTTAGGACAAAGCTAAATTGACTTACAATTTGGAATAGGGAGTAGATTCATTATGACAAATAGTTCCATGGTACAAAATTCATTCCATTTAATATAATAGATTTTTAAAGATATAGCTAGTCAAAGTGTCTTATAGTATTTCTGATCAGAGGAAGTACCTTTCTCTGAAGATAATGTTTTCTACTTTCAGATCCAACAACAATTCAAATCACTCTGGTGGCATTTGATTACCTTCATGAAAACAAGGAATCCCTACTTCCAATTTAATACAGTGAATCAAGCTAATAAATCAACAATGGGCCCTTTCTGTAAAAAATCAGTTGGGAAAACGGTCGCTCTTAACTTAGCGGTGATCACCATGTTGGTGCATTCATCTATCACAAACCAACTTCTATAAGATTTATCTGATCTAGGATCGAATTGGAGGCAGAAAGTTAGTCAACTGATCCCACGCAAATCTGACCAATTGCATTCTGTACATAATTACCTGGAATTGCGTCATCACAAGATAGGACCCAAGCTTCCGCGACGATGGATGGTTGGGCTTGCTCTCAGCCGATAGCGAGAGCGACTTGATGATGGGCAGAAACACGCCTCCGGCCCTCGCCGTGGTGCTGGGCATGGCTGGCGCGATGCAGGCCTCGCTGATGGTGAGCCCGTAGGACAGGCCCAGCGTGCTGCTCCCGAGCCACTTGACGAAGTAGGTGGCGATTCGGTCACCGAGGCCCGTCTTGACGAACCCGCGCGCGAAGAAGAAGGAGATGACGATGAGCCAGATGACCTCGTTGGTGAAGGCGGAGAAGGCGGCGGCGAAGGGGAGCGTGCGAGTGGCGACGGCGGCGGTGAGCCCGAGGAAGGCCCATGCGCCGACGGGGAGCGGGCCAAGCACCAGCCCCGCGATGGTGGAGAGGAAAATGGAGAGAAGCTGCCAGGCCTGCGGGCTCACCTCAACGGGCCGCGGCGCGAGGAACCACACGGCGAGGCCGACGGCGATGGAGATGACGAGCGGCACTAGCTTCGCACCGGTGGACTCGGGCTCAGGCTCAGGCTCGGGGTTAGCATCAGGGGTTTGGGAGACGCGAAGAGGCAGGCGGAGGTGGCGGCGAAGGGCGGGAGAAAGGCGATGATTATGCGGGAAGGAAAGGTGGAGGGAGGGGCTGGGAAGGGAGAGTGGGGCGGGGAGGTGGTGGAGGTGGCGGCGGCGGAGGTAGCCCGCCGACGGTACCGGCAGAGGCGGGCGGTGGGCGATGGCGAGGTTGAGGTTCTCCATCGACGGCCGCGGCAAGAGGCGGGCGCCGGGCGGTGGTACTGGTTTCGTTCAGACTTCAGTTTCAGGAGAGCGACCTTTATGGCAGTGTTGGTAGCCTAGATTCTAACGGCTGAAATCGAGGTGCGGACGTGGGGCCCGGTTGCAGTCGGAGGAACCGGGGTCATCACCTGTGGACCGTGCTGAGCAGCGGCGGTGGATCCTGCGAGGCGCGGAACCACTGGATCATAGCCGGTGTCCAGGCGAAGGTGGTTCTGCGGTCTCTCGTCGTATGGTCGGATACCATCTGCGCTGCGGTCTGCGGCTCAGCGACTTCCGCTCACGATCTGTATTCTGTATACTCTTGGCCAAACCGCACGTTTCCAACGGCGTCATTATGTATGGTTCAAAACAATTGGTACTCTGGTTCATAAAAAAGAAAGAGCCAAGAAGAGCATCATCTCATTGGTCCTATCCTCGGTCACTTGAGTCGAGTACTGTTTAGATCATTGCTCGCTATTAGTTAGCTAGTTAATAGTTTATAGTTAATATTAAATGTTGTTGGTTATTTTGGTTCGACCAGTAAAATAGTTGTTAGTTAGGTACTATGTATTTAGCTAATAGCTAAATTATTAGCTAGACTTTTTTTATCTATAAGTAGCTAATTATTAGCTTTATAGATTATAGATTCTAATAGGGCCTAAGTGAAGTAACACGTCCGTGATTCTTACCATTCTTCCTCTTCAGGTTTTAGCAAATGAAGGATACTAAGGAACCAACGTTGTTTTTTTATTTACTACTAAAGTTTTCAAAAAGTGAAACAAATTAACAAAAAAAAAAGTCTATCACACCTGCACATTTCGCATGTGTTTGATTTTGAGATAACCTATGATAGCATGGTCATGTTCGTGAATTTTAAGATCAGGTTCAGTTAAGGAGACATGGTCATCCTTTGTTTTGTACCTAGTTTGACGACTCCGTGAAATTACATCTAAGCCCATGGTGCGTCAGGTGACTAAATGATAAAACAATTAAGAAACCTAAAGTTTTTAAGGTAAATATATGTTATAGTTCCTAGAAGATGATACCAAATATTGGCAACTCTAAAAAAGAAACCGATGAAAGTGACATGAAGATTGTGTGGATAGGTCAAGTTTAGGAGAGCACATGGTGGGTAATAAGGGCCTGTTTGGCATAACTCACAACAGCTTTATGAACTGTTGTGAGCTGTTTTATTTGTCAAACACTCATTTTCAAAACAACTTCATGAGTTGGGATGAAGCTAAATAAAGACATGAGTTGAAATGAAGCTGAAAAAAGTAACTTATCATAACTCTCTCCTTCATTTCTCTCTCTCATCCATGTATGAAGTTGGTGGTGAAGCTATTTTATCAAACAGTTTTTTCTAAAACAGCTCAACTTCACCTAAAAAGTTGTTCATGAAGTCATTTTCAAAAAAACAGTTTTACTAATAAAACTGAGCTGTGCCAATCGAGGCCTAAATCCCTAAAGGGCAAAGGGCAAATTGGTCTTTTACCAATTCACAAGCTACTTCATGAAGTTAGCTAGATTATTGTTACGAGTTGGGTGCATGACACCTGAAGCTTTTAAAGCCACAATTCACATTGATGGTTTTCGGAAGAATAATTATGCAAGTAATGGAAATTTACAAACTTTCTCTAAGGGATTAATTTTGTACGAGACCATTGTGCTTTGGTAGGAACTGTCATGTATTTTTAAACTGGAAGCTCAGAATTGTTCACAAATAAATTTCAGGCCTTCACTTGCAGCATTTTTCAAAATGAAATTGATAAAGAATTGAGACACAAGGTACAACTACCCTTTTATTTCTTTTCTTGATAGATGCATGGAAATATGTATAAGCTTGTACCTTGATACAAAAGTCACTTAAATTGGTGATAAGGGAGTTGAGATATGAGAAAATCACAATATATTTGGCTTTGGATCAGATCTCAGTCAGGAACTATAAAGTTTAGTTAGAAAATATTGATTTGCATACTTGGGTGATATGATTTTTTTCAAAAATAAAGCACTAAAACATATAGAAACACATGGATATGAATCCTCTATCTTGATTTTGGCTTGGCAAGGATCCTTGGATAGTACCAAATATCTCGTGCAATTTGTTGGTTTGGTTCCAACGAAAGCACCCAGTATACTAACATTTTGATGTTCTTCACGGTAGCTAAAAAATGCTGACTGCTTTTATAATATGTCAATATCTATATTAATATTAGTATACTTTCTCTGTCCTAAAAAGAATATAATTCTCATTTCTTGAGGAGTTAAAAAAAAATTTAAGTTTGACTAAATTTATACAAAAATTACTAACATTTATTATATCGGAATAAATAACATTACATTGGACTATGAAATATATTTTCATAGTGTCGGTGTAGAAAGTGATCAACACGTAAATATTTATAGTTTTGCCGTACGTTGTGATCGGATGTGGCCTAACACTCAATGCCACAGGATTTATACTGGTTCAGGCAACGTGCTCTACGTCCAGTTTTAGTCGGTTGGTGAATTTATTCCTGAGCCCAGGTGCTCGAAGTTTGCAATGGGGTTACAAACGAGAAGGTTGCAGGGCACTCTTCTAACAGGCACCGTCAGTACTGTCCTGCAGGTGTACAGGGTATGGTTCTCGGTATTGCGGTTTGACTTGAGCGCCCTGTCTTACTTGCTCCGCCCGTTTCCTGGTCCTTACCGAGCGGGCTTCCCCGGTTGGTTGGTCTTAGTCGGCTCCGACTGCGCCAGTGGGAGAAGACTGTAAGTAGAGGTTTCGATGTATCCCCGGTCGGAGATGCGGGTCGGAGTCAGAAGCAGGCGTCGTTCCTCCTCGGTGAAGGGTCGAGATGGCGGACTAGAGGAGGGGTGAATAGTCCTTTCTAAAATTAATCGCGTCGGCTAACCGAAACAAGTGCGGAATTAAAACTATCGGTCTAGCCAAGACTACACCCCTTTATTTATGTTCTCTAGCACCTTCCAAAGATAATAATTAAGCAACAAAGGTGTCGGGCTAGCTAGAGCTCACCTAACCAATTTTAGAAGCAAGGTCACACAAACCTATGATACTAGTACTTCAAGCAATAAGGGAGCTCCTACACAAGCTAGTAAGCAAAAACACAAAGCCACCTAAGCTCACTAGCAATGCCCAATAACAAGGCAACCAATGCCAAATTAGAGAGCGCAATTACTTAGCTACACAAACTAAGCAATGTGACTAACAAAGTTACACAAACCAAATTAGCCACGCAAGGGAGCTACTTCTATACTACACAAGCAAGAAGATAACTAGTAAGCTACACAAGCTAACTAATTACAAGAGCAACTATACAAGCACAATGCATATGAAATATAAATACAAGCTTGTGAAAGGAATTGCAAACCAACAGGAAGAACAAGGTTGACACGGTGATTTTTCTTCCGAGGTTCACGTGCTTGCCAACACGCTAGTCCCCGTTGTGTCGACCCCTCACTTGGTCAACGGATGCTCGCCACGTGTCGCCACCGTTCATCCTCAGTCGCTTGATCTCAACAGTCAAGTGATGACCGGACGCAGCTGCTCAAACTGACTGGACGCAGCAACCCCAGCATCCGGTCGTTTCCAGTAAGGTGCCAGCTGTGACCGGACGTGTCCAGTCGGTCATGATCGGACGCAGCATTAGCGTCCGGTCCTTCTCCACCTTCTCTGCGTCGCCTACGTCACCGTACGTCAGCCTGACCGGACGCACCCTGCCAGCGTTCAGTCACTTTCAGCTCCAGCGTCCGGTCGAAGACCGACGCCTGCACACTCTCTGCCGCCACTGACCGAACGTAGGACCCCAATGTCCGATTCACTCTATGAGACCCTGTCTTTTCTGTATAGGGCACCGGTGGCACCGTCGGACTGTCTGCACTCTACGGGCGGACACTCCGTCGGTGGAGTTCCTAACCCTTCTCGCTTCCGTTTCATCGCCGAGTTGATCCACATCAACTCCAACTTCATCTTCTTTGTAAATGTGCCAACACCACCAAGTGTACACCATCATGTGTATGTGTGTTAGCATTTCCACAATCATTTTCCAAAGGATTAGCCACTCAACTTGTCACGCCACTCAATCCTAGCGACGATGCAAAGTTACATCACTCGAGTGGCACTAGATGACCGATATGCAAACAAGTTTACCTCTCTTGATAGTACGGCCATCTATCCTAAACCCGGTCACCAACTTCTCTACACACCTATGACCGGTGAAATGAAATGCCCTAAGTTATACCTTTGCCTTGCGCATTCCATTCCATCTCCTCCAATGTCGATGCAACACATGCACCAACACGATCAACAATGGTATGATCCACTTCATATCATCACGTGATCATATTGGTTCATCGATCTTGACTTCACTTGCTTTTCACCATTGCCTTTGTCCATCAGCGCCAAGTCTTGCTCAAGCTTCACCGTCACACGGTCCATCGCTCCAAAGCCTCCGACTTGCCCTTTACGCTTGCAACCGGTCCATCAAGCCAAGTCTTGTCTTGATCTTCTCCACCTTGATCACATGACTCAATGTCATGTCTCATTTGCAATGAGCTCCTTCATCATCATATGTGTGAGCTTTGCAACATCTCCAAGCCATTTTCACCTTCATGGCATATGTTGCTCACACACATGTACCTATGGACTAATCACTTATGTATCTCACATCAACACAATTAGTCCACCTAGGTTGTCACTCAATTACTAAAACCACAGAAGGATGTTTCACTCGGCCAGGCCTTCCGGTCGAAGAGGTGGGCTGAAGTCGGAAGCGAGGCCTTCCGGTCGGAGAGGCGGGCCAGAGTCGGAGGCGAGCGAGCGCCATTCTGGCCTGCCGTTAGGTTTTTGGGCCGGGCCAGGATTTCGTGTTTGTTCGCAATGTCGTCTGCTGGGGCGAGCCTTTGCTGGGAAGCCGGTCCATAAGGGACCCCGGGTTTATAAACCCGAGAGGAGCCCCCGAGCCCCTGGACGATTCGGGTAG